ATCATTGGCAGAAACTTGCTCTTATGAGAGAAGTTATCTATGATAATTGGTTCGTGGGTGGAGATTTCAACATGATTATGAAACCATCCGAAAGAAATGATAGAGGGTGGTGCAATTCTATGCTGATTGACCGTTTCAATGATAAGATTAATGAGGCTGGTTTATATGATTTAGGTTTTTCGGGTCCTCAGTTTACTTGGAGAAGGGGATCCCTTGCCCAAAGGCTGGATTGTTTTTTTGGGAATCATTATTTCCTAAATTATTTTCATGTTTCTAAAGTGTTTCATTTAAACCACGCAGCATCTGATCATAATCCTATTCTGCTTCCTCTGCCTTCAATCATAAGCCTGCCTCTTATCACTTTAAATTTATTAACATATGGAGCACTCATGAGACTTTTTTTACTCTTATCAAGCAAGTTTGGCAAGTTGATTGCGTTGGTAATCTTTGGTACAATTTGTGACAGCTTCACAAGAAGGTTGCTGCTCATTTATGCAAATGGAATTTAAATGTTTTTGGTAATGTTCACAAGAAGGCGCAGGAGGCCCAAAGAGTGGTTCATAATCTTGAAGCACAGGTTAATAGCTCTCCACAGCTTGTTGAGGAATTCACAATAGCTCACTCTAATCTTCTAGAGGCTATCTCTTTAGAGGAAGGCCTTCTACAACAGAAGGCTAATGATATTTATTTATCCAATGTTGATCGCAACACTAAATATTTTCATGCCTCCATTAACCATAGAAAAGAAATCAACACTATTCTTAACATCCGCACTCCTAGTGGATGTCTGTTAACTCAAGATATTGATATTGGTAAAAGTGCGGTTGATTATTTCACGGATCTCTTTATGTCTAGTTCTCAGGTATCTTTTTGATAATGAACGTGAATATGTCTCCTCCTTTCTCTTTTTGAGGTTCCTACAGAACAGGAAATCTTCTCTGTTTTCAAATATATCAATCCCAACAAAGCTCCAGGACCGGATGGTTTCACTTCTTCCTTTTATGTTACTTGCTGGAATATTATCAAAAAGGAAGTCATCTTTGCTGTGCAAAGCTTTTTTCTTGGGGAAGATCTTGGGAAATACTTCACTTCCTCTTTGATTGTGCTAATTCCAAAAGGAACTGACAAAACTAGTTGGGATAAATTTCGGCCCATCTCCCTCACTTCGGTTATCTTTAAAATATTGAGTAAATTAATGCTTTCCAGGCTTCAACCACTCGTACCTAATATCATCTCGCCTCAGCAATCTGCTTTTGTTAAAGGTCGGGAGATCACTGATAATATTTTACTTGCGCAGGAATTAATTGAAGATCTTGATAAGAAATATCGGGGTGGCAAAATAATTTTTAAACTGTACATCAAAAAGGCTTTCGATACTCTCAGTTGGGATTTCATAATTGTCATTCTTCATGCTCGGGGTTTTCATCACAAATTCATATCTTTAATCTGAAAATGACTTCATAATAATCATTACAGCGTGTTGGTTAATGATACTTATGATTTTTTCTCTGCACATAGAGGCATTAAGCAAGGTGATCCCTTATCCCCTACAATTTTTATAATCGCTTTTGACTATTATAATCGCTTTTGACTATTTATCGCTTTTGACTATTTCTCGCATTTAGTCAAAATGATTTGCAGCACAATAAGATACATACTCAATTCCGTCATAAGTCCAAGGTCATGGTTAATCATCTCGCATATGCAGATGATGTTATTCTTTTCTCTAATGCAAGTAAAAATACCATTAAATTGCTCATGCGAGTTCTTGAGGAATTTCAACAAACTTCTGGCTTAACTTTCAACACAGATAAGTGCAATATTTATTTTGGTAAGAATGTAAAGAGCTCGAATGCTACTTGGGCTATTTCTTTCACAAGATGTCAGTCTGCATCACTTCTCTCAAATATCTTGGAGTTAATCTCCTTAGAGGGCGTCAGAAACAAACTCAATTAGATGAGGTTGTTGATAAAATCAAATCCAAATTGGGGATTGGAGGAATATCTTCCTCTCAAATGACGGCCGTCTCACCTTACTCAGAAGTGTTCTAATCAGTATTCCTATGTATGCTATGCAATATGTATGCTATGCGAAAAGTACTCAGCTTACATTAGAGAGAATGTTTAATCATTTTCTCTGGTCGGGGAGTCATTCTAGGAAGCATTGAACTACTAGGAAGCATTCTAGGAAGCATTGAACTACTTTTAATAAGGTTTGTATGCCTAAGATTGCTGGTGGCTTAGGGATTAAAAGTCTTAAACAAATATCTGATATTAATATGGGCAAGTTGTGGTTCAAATATCGAGCTAATAATTCTTTATGGGCTAATTTCCTTCATCAAAAATATTGTTCTCAACAGCACCCTGTCGTGGTTCAATGGAGGGTGGGTGATTCTAAGATTTGGAAAGTCATTCTTAAAGCAAGAGCTATAGCTAACAAATTTATCTTTTGGGATGTCGGTAAAGGAAAGATTTCGGTTTGGCATGATCAATGGGGTCAGGGGGATGAGGTTTTTTTCTTTACAGTAGGGAATTCCAAATTATTTCATTATTTCTGATTTGTGGCTTCAAGGCAATTGGGATGTACATAAATTAAATGAACTTTTTGGGGTCCAGGCGGCTAGGATTTCTAAACTTCCTATTAAGAATGATATGAGGGATATTCCTTTGTGGAAATCCACGGTTTCTATCTCTCCCACCAACATGTTTTATGCTAATCTTTATCATCAGAAATTGGAGGTGGGGGCGGGTTATTTGGAACAAATTAATTTCACCATCTATTTCTTTTATCTTATGGAGCTTATGGAGGCTTTTTCTTTCTTCTTATGGAGGCTTTTTCTGAATATGTTGCCTTTGGATGATATTTTAAAGCTTAAAGGTTTGAAATTGGTGTCTCAATGCTATTTATGTAAAAGATATTTGGAAACGGCTGTGCACATTTTCTTTCTTTTTCCTTTTGCTGCTGATACTTGGAACAGGTTTGGTAACCATTTTAATATTAAATGGATGAATTCTTCCTCTATTGCTGATTTTCTTAATATTTGGAAAACAGCTACGCATGTGAATACAAGACTTTTTTGGTTCTCTCTTGTGGTTCTTTGGTTCATCTGGGGGGGAGAAATGATGCTAAACATGCTAATATCCTTGCTCACTTTCACAGAGCTTGTCGTGTTCTATGTTTATCGGGTAATACTGTGCCGACAAGGTTGGGTAGGATGGCCATTTTATTTAGATGGCAACCCCCACCTTTGGATTGGGCCAAGTTTAATTTTGATGGTAGTTGGAGCTCTAGCGAGGCGGGCGCGGGGGGCATTTTAAAGAATCACATCAGGCAGTGTTTGTTTTTCTTTGCTTCTCCTATCCTTGCTTCCACTCCTTTGGAGGCTGAAATTTGGGTCTTCTTATCGGCCTTGCAGGTTGTTGCACGGCTTAAGCTTTCTAAAATTATCTTTGAAACGGACTCTCAAATGTTTATTGATGAGTTCTATAAGGCCTCTAAGCCTAGATTGGATTTGCTTGTCATTATGAACTGAATTCGTGATGTTATTCAATAATACAATTTAAATATACAATTGTCCTTTATTTATAGGGAAGGCAATTCACCGGCGAATTGTCTTGCTCAAAAGGGTAGGGAAATTTCTGAGATGCTATACGGGATTCATCCCATAACACAACTTAAACCTTTCATTATGGGTGATTTACTTGAGCTCCCTTTTATCAGAATTTAGTTGCTTGATGGCTTGCATTACAGTCCTTTTCACCTTGTTTTTCGATGGGTTATTTTGTTGGGTTGAACAGCTTCAACTTTTGCTGATCATTGGATGGACTATGCTATTTACGTTTAGCATTTCTCTTCATGCTTTTTTGTGTTTTATGGCTTCAAAAATATATTTGATTATTGAGAACTCTCAAGTTTGGCTTCTGATGGTTTTGAAGAATAGTCTCAAAAACTTATATTATGCATTTTATCACTTTGACGTTTGGGCCTCAGATGGTTTGTCAATTTCTTATTTTGTTGGATGGTTCAGGCAAGCGATTATTATTTTCTTACTTTGTGAATGCCTTCCTCGCTGGAGGATACAAGGAGCCTTTTCTGCTACTTTCCGCAACCAACATGTTTGATTTGTTTGGGCTTCTCTTCTGCTGTGGATTTTGCTCCTCTCTTTTGCAGGTGCTTCGAGACTTTGGTTGGAGCTGTTTTTGGGAGCTATATTGAGGCTACTAGATCGTATCTTGGATGGTTTTTCGGGCTCGGCTCTTCTCGTTTTTTCTTACTTTATGGGTAACATGTATTTGTGTATATGACCTTTTGGTCTTTTTGTTTTTTGTATACATGTATTTGGTTGAGGAACCTCATTTTGGTGTGAGTAATGTAATTTTGATACTTTTATTTTCGAGGTTTCCTTTTCCAATCCATACTATGTACCCGCATTTTTTATTAACATGTAGGGAGGCATATAATGCTCCTTCCCCTAATATATATATATATATATATCCTACAAATCCATAACGTTGACTGCAAGCAAAGCTCATTAATTGAGAATTTTATCTGTATCATACTTGGAATATAACACCACAATAGCTCGCTCCTATAGGAATCCTCAACGGCCAAATTAAAATAAGCACTATTCGATCTCTGGGATACATATATTCAATATTCCTTCTAATGATTAAATATTGTTTAAAGCAATACTTTTCCATCCTCTCTTTTCCATCATGAGGGGTCTTTCGAAGGCCACAAAATTAAAATACACACAAACGGCTTGCTGGTATGCGAAATAAGTAGTTATACAATCTTCATTCAGCAAAAGCCAATAAAAAATAGTATAGAAACACAAAATGGTATCCAGGTGTATCCTGTACAACCGACTCTAACAATTGTATGGATTACATCATCACCTGAAATTGCTAGAAATATGCAATTAACTTTCTCCCATTATATTTATACCTTTGCAAACAAGAAGATCGAAAATCGGTCCGGCAGAGTTCTAGAGTACCTACCTTAGACATTGACGTGAGAATATCAGCCAAGAAGAAGTCAGCAAAAGATATTGCCTGCATGACAAAGGGAGAAATAATACAATTACATTAGTAACAAAACGTTACCAAAAACCATTAAAAGTTGTATGACCTACAACAAACCTAACATTAAACTTTTCTTAGAATATAATTCATATAACCATTAAGCAAGTTCTATTCAATATTCTTTAGTAGCACATGCGACAGCTTCCGCAGATGATAATGAAAAATAGGCTCATCTCCATAAATTTAGATGTTAAGCACGGCTACAGAAAACATAACAAACAAAAAAACATTTAAGGAATCAACTATTACCACCTGAATTCACTATAGGATTATAGAAAAGAATGTGGCTGCAAAAACTGACAATAATTTAGATCTGAATCAAAAACTAGACTTAAGTATTTTGAAAGTATTGTAAATAACATTAATCTATCTATCAAACATTCAAAATTATTCCACTCATGGTTATGATAAACAGGTAGATTTGCAAAATATATTACATAAAAAAAACAATATTCATGAATTTCAATCCTATAATGGCCTAATACTTAAAAGAGACCAATATTCTTTTAGGTTTTCTAAACTTCAGAGTTCCGTTCAGATTTTCTATAAGATGGAATGGAAAGAATCAAAGTCATTGGTATATTCATTAAACCTTTCAGATTCTACTATAAATTATTAAGTAAAAGATGGGGCATAGGGCTATGGCCTTAAGATGATTAGTCATACATAATTTTGGTCTTTTATGAATGAAGACTCACAATAGTAAACATAGAAATCTAGGCATTGAGAGCACGGAGAACATCAAACTCCAAGAAGAGGAATAGATAAAAAGTTATCAAATTTAATTTTAAATAATGAAACAAGGAACAATAAATTAAGCTAATCCATTGACTGAAGACACCATGAAGATCTACAGATATAAACTATAGAAACTTAAGAAAAAAAATACCTAATTAATAGTAAACTCAGTTACGCAAAAAGCAACATGAGAAACTTACCTGTAGTGGAAGAATGATACGCCATAATGTCCTTATGAAGTAGTAACGAGAAGATAGGTAGAAAATATCAAAAGGAAAGATGAAAGCCATCACGAAAATAGCATATAAGATAACCTGCAAATTTCCTACATTATTTTAGAAGGAATTTCGAAAAAAAAACAAAAATAAAGAGAGTTTCAGGGAATTAAAGTATGTTACTGATAAAGAAAAAAACTGACATAGCTCACACACAAAATAATGAGAGAAAAAAATGCATGAGAAAGAAATAGATATTACACTGGTTGAGATGCAGCTAATGAGACTTCGCCATGAGAGTAAAGATACAAATAAGCAGTCATACTTGTTGGAACCACAATGGCCATCCATGTAGCACACTGCACAGGCAAATCAGACAACAATGATGCTTATTAACATTTATATTTTCTGTCCAGAAAATATAGCAAGTCATTTTCTTATTCTTATAGGACTTTCTTATCCTTATGGAACTAAAAGGAAAAGTTAACGAGTGAACAAGAATGAAAAATAACAAATTCAAAAAGTGAGTTCGCTAATTTATTCATAATTTACAAAAGTAGCCAATAAATTTTAACATGAGCATTCAATACTAAAACTTCTCAAATCTTATTACTAATAGCAAAATCTTGCAGAACTATGTAATCATCGTAAGGTTAAAATAAAATGCATCCAACTGGGCAGTACCAAAATTGAATGATTCATCGTCTACAGATTGCAGTAAGAGATATTTTCAATTTAGATGACAGAAGTAGCATGATTATGTTACTGTCAAAAACAAGTTTCAAATCAGAGAAGTTGGGAAGAGAACGACAGAAGGAAGCCAGCCTAAATCAGATCAAAATATGAAGAATATAGACAAAAAAGAAACAACAACAAAGAGAAAAAAAAAAGATACTAATAACTTAAGTTCGTTGTTGAACATATCAAATTCTGAATCTTCTCATACAAATTTTTATTGATTTTCAGATAAACATTACATGAATCGATGGTCCGCAGTAATATTAATAAAGCAAATTACTGGTTTAATATAGAGTATCAAATACGCATGTAGCCTGCTTCATGCATTACAAAATTCGATATTGCCCCGCACGTCAAATCCCAAATGCTAACATGAGGCAGTTTTGCGATTTTTTCTGCATTTAATTCTGTCTTTTCGTTCTTATTTATCACGGTTTTACACTTGTGGAAGGTTGTATTTCATGTTTTGTAAGTTATAGGGGCTCGAACATGCACTTTTGAGCAAGAAACGGCAAATTCATAGGCGCCAAACTAGCATAACCACGCCCAGAATCCGAAATATTATGCCACCTTATCTGTAAGGGCAGTGTGATTACACCTAACTTGGGTGTGACTACGTTGTGTCCTCCATAGCTACAGCATAATGCGGGTGTGACTACGCGTTGCATGGCATGACTACGCCAGGATCGGGTGTGACCACCGCGCCGAGGCTGCTTCTACACTTGGAAAGAATCACCTTACTAAACTTGGACAGAAGCTATAAGAACAGAAGTTAGAGCATGTTTTAGAGGATCTCGGGCAGCTAGAGGACGAGTTTGGAGAGGATTTTGGAGAGTTTAGAATTCCCTTAGGGTTTCTTCTTTCTTGCTAGAGGGATGAAGCCGTGGGGGTTGTTTTTCTTCTTTTATTGTTTTATTATTTTCATTGAGAATATCTCATATACAAGAGGGACTAGCTGTTGCTGAAAAGAGGAAAATCTTGGCTGCAAGTTATTTTTACGTTATATTGCTACTTGCATCATTGATTTCAATGGATTGCCTTGCTTTGATTTTTTTTTCTCCATCAGTAGCTAAATCTCTTTTGTACCTTTGTGATGTAGAATAGTAACTTTTCTTGGTTTTTCAAGCATGTTATCTCCTAATGTTTTCCAGGCTTTCATGTATTCAAGTTGTTGGTTAACCTTCTAGTTTTTGTTTGCTCCTAATCTAGCTAATTAAGACATTAAGGGTTGTCATGAACTATGACTCCTCGTCCCGTAGTGGGATGATTGGGTTAACCAAAAAAAGCTGGTAGAATAGGCATATTCTAATTAGGGTTTTGAAACATAGATAGGGGATCAGAGGAATCTTAGAAAAAATAGTAGGGATAAACGGAACTTAACTTTATGGGCTTATGATTCTTCTTATGACCTAGGTAAAGACTTAAGAAGAAAATTTTATCTTTGGTTCACAGCTATCACGCGTTAGTTGTCACCTTCACGGTAGACAACTATCACTTAGGGAAACACTTAGAAAAACCTTGGAATTCACTACACTCAAGTCACAAATGTAAGAGTCTCATCCCTCTTGAATAATACTAAGAGTCTTGTTTTCGTTTTCCAAGATCTTAATTTAATTTTATGCTTGTTGCTTAGAATTTCAAGATTTGATTTCTAAAAATTTTGATCATGCTAAGCTTGGTGTCTGAAGTTAATAAACTAGAGATTTTTCTGTTGAAATAATTATTAGTTTTTTCCTCGTGAGATCAGTACACGGACTCTAAAACCGCATATTACTTGACAACTATACTTGCATGCTTGGCCACTTACCTCATAGCAACTTTAGATCATCAAGTTTTTGGCATCATTGTCGGGAAAAGGTGTTAAGAATTATTCTGATTTTAAGAAAATTTTAGTTAAACGACTAAGAATCTATGTTTTTAGTGTAACACTCATTGTCAGTCCCAAACTCGGATGTAAAAAGTGGAGGGTTGCGTTAAGTAGTCGACAACCAAAGTAAAATTTGTTGAAAAAATTATGAAATGAATTATTTTGATCATTGTGCAAGTGCTAGGGCGCCCCTTGAGAGCAACGCGCTGTATGATCTGAATACAGTGAAAAGTGTGTTACTATACCGGTGTTTGGTTGTAGTGTCAAAAAAGCAAAGGTTCCCACATTACGGACAGATGCGGGTAAAGAAATTAGTTCATGAAACTAATATTAGGATAGTGTATTAGAATATTAGTACTCTCGCCGCTAAATTAATGAAATTAGTTGATATTATGATTCACAGAAAGATAAATATTTTATATGTTCAAGAAACTAAATAGGTTGGAGAAAGGCTGAGGAGATTGATAACTTATGTTTTTAAAATTTGGTATTCTAATAAGAGTCGCACTAAAAATGATGTAGGTGTAATTATAGATAAGAGTTTGAAACATAATGTTGTAAAAATGTTGTAAGTTGGAGATAAAATTATAGCCCTTAAGATTATTGTTGATACTAAGATTTTTAATATTATATGTGCTTATGGTCCTCAAGTAGTTTTAGATATAGGTTCTAAAGATAAATTCTTGAATGACTTAGAAGACTTAATACAAATGATATCTCTTGAAGAAAGATTTTTTATCGGAAGATATTTAAATGGACATAACGATAGAGTGATAGAAGATTTTAGCAATATTCATGGAGGTTATGATTTTTGAGTGATTAATGAAGGTAGAGTTATATTAGATTTTGCTTTAGCGTATGACTTTGTTATTGCTAATACTTTATTTAAGAAAAGAGATGAGCATTTTATTAATTATAAGAATGAATCTAATAAAACACAAATTGATTATTTTCTTATGAGAAGAAGAGATCGTCAAAAATGTAAAGATTGTAAGGTCATTCCAAGTGAGGATTTATGTACTCAACATCGATTATTAGTTCTAGATTTTAAGATGAGGAGTTGTAAAATAAAGAATACAATGAATCAATTTCATAGAATTAGATGGAAGTACCTAAAAGTCACAAATAAAATTTATTTTTATGAGTAAAATTCAAGATTTAAAACTTTAAAACATTCTTGAAAAAGCAAATTCTATGTTGGATAATATAACAAACACTATTACACAAGTGACAAAAGTTTTATTTGGAGAAGCAAAAGAAAAAATTTCTATAAATTTTCAAAATAGTTGGTGGAGGAATAATAATGTGCAAGAAAAAATAAAATATAAGAACTTATGTTATAAAAATTGGTTTAAATGTAAAAGCTTATAGAACTGGGAAAATCATCAAAAGGGGTCATAGGGAATCTAAGAGAATAATATATGACGTTAAAAATTCTATTTTTAGTGATCTTTATAATAAATTAGATACTAAGGCATGTGAAAAATATATGTATAAACTAAGCAAACAAAGAGAAAATAAAAGTAAAAAATTTAACACAAGTATATTAAAGATGAAAATCAAAAAGTGTTTTTTTTACAAAAGAAATTCAAAATAGGTGAGCGGTTTATTTTGATAAACTTTTTAATGAAGTTTTGAAGAATATGATCAACTTAAGTGATCTTAAAACCGTTAATAATAATAAAATGTTTAATTTTTACCGTCGCATTAGTAATAAAGAAATTGAATAGGCCTTAAAGAAAACTAAGGGTAAAAACTTTGTAGGACTTGATAATATCTTAATTGAAGTGTGAAAATATTTAGGAGATTCGAGGGTTTCTTGGCTCACTAAACTTTTTAATATTATTTTAAAAACTGAAAAAATGTCTGAGTGGAGGAAAGGTACTTTGGTCCCCATTTTTAAGAATAAAGGGGATGCACAAGAGTGTGCAAATTATAAAATAATTAAGTAATTAAGTTGATGTGTTAAGTTGATGTGTCATACTTTAAAGATATGGGAGAGGGTAATTGAACATAGGTTAGGATATAGTACAAAGATTTCTCATAATCAATTTGGATTTATATTGGGCCTGTCTATTATGAAAGCTATACATATATTGAGAGGTTTGATGGAGTAATTCAGAAATAATAAGAAGGATCTACATATTAATTTTATTAATTTAGAAAAAGTTTACGATAACGCTCCAAGAGATATCCTTTGGAGAGTTCTTGAGAAAAAAGACGTTGATATGAGTTATATTCAAGATATGTATACAAGAGCTATTATTGTGTTCGAACAGAAGGAGGATTGACCAAATACTTCTCTATTTCTATTGGTTTACATCAGGGATCGACTTTAAGCCCATATCTTTCTGCTTTAGTTATGGATGGTCATACTGGACATTTATACTGGACATTTACACTGGACATTTACAGGAGGATGTACCGTGGTGTATGCTTTTTGTTGATGGTATCCTTCTCCTGGATAAGACGAGAGAAAAACTCATTTAAAACTGAAATTATGGAGGTTCACCCTGGAGTCCAAAGGCCTTCGTTTGAGTAGAACTAAAATTGAATACATTGAATGTAATTTTATTAGTAGCAGCTCCAGTGACAGAAATGTAACTATGGGTGATTAAATTATTAAAATGAGAGAACGATTTAGATATCTCGGGTCTATTGTTCAAAGTGAAGGTGATATTGATTGGGATGTTATTAATAGAATTCAAGTTGGTTAGTTGAAGTGGAGGAATGCTTTCGCCTGTGTGATAGAAA